ACTTTAATTTGATTTACGGTAATTCAAGAAATATTTTTAACAATTCTTAAGTTAATAATCATCATTACTTTTTTTATTTCGCGTGCTTTCTCTTGCTTCAGAATTTTATCTACTACTATACTGTAAATTCGGAAATTACAACAAATTTTGTAATAGATTGAATACTACTGTATATTTTTTCGTTAAAAAACATCAAAACCTTTCTTGTTGAAATTTATTAATTCTTTGTTACAATTCATTATGAAACGATATGGATGAAAGCAACAAAAATATTATACTGTATACCAATCTTTGAGCCTTATTTTTTACATGCACTATATAAATTTTACAGTAGGATTACAATTAATGAGATCAAAAAAAATCCCTATCCGCCTTCAAAAAATAATTACCATATGATTTTTTTTATGTATAGCAATAGTTATAGTATTATGCATCAAAAAAAATATTTTTTCGAGGTATCATCCGGCTAAAAAAGTTGTCCCATAGCTTTCTTCCACCAGATCTACACACGAAGGCCGGTTATACAACGTTCATGATGACAGTGAAACAATCTGACACGAGCTCGTTCGATTCATATATCAATAAGAAGTGACATGGAATTTAGATTGCATAAATGGATGGATGGCACAAAGGATGTTGCGAAGAATATTACGAAACAGAAATGATATTGAATGGATGGATGGCAAAAAGAATGTTGCGAAGGAAGAATATTACGAAACAAAAACACGGCAATTTTACAGTACGTATACGCATACTTTAATGAGAAATTTCAAACGACTAACTTGATTAATAAAAAAAAATAATACAGGTAATGATTCTAAAATTCTACGTATATATCACGTGATATTTATGCACAAGTAATTCTACTAAAGACGCGCACATTATCACACATAAAAAGATTTTTTTTTCTAGATCAAGAAAGTAACCGTGATTGCACTTGCCACCAATATCAGGAAATTAACGACGGTCACCGATTTGGAAGAGGCGGATGATTTAGTGGTGCTCGGGGTTGAACTTGGACCGCTGGTGGGGCTAGACAAATTTCCGGGTGAACCACTGGATGAACCACTAGGTGAATTACTAGCACTAGCTGTACCTTATATATTGTAGAAAATAGAAGATAAAGAAGTAAAAATGAAAACAGTTATTATTGATTTAAATAAACTTCCACCTGCTGGCGAAAGACTAATAGATGTGCTAAGCGATAAAGAACTACTAGACGATGTGGATGGTGAAGATGTAGAGGAGACGGAGGATGAACCTGATGTAGCTGAGCTTTTAATGGCAATTAAACCCCACATTCCACTTTCGCAATGGCCAGGAATTTCGCAAAAATAATAGATGGTGCCAGATGTTTGAGTGACGGTGATGATGAAAGTACCACTGCTCTTCTCGCCACTATCAAATGCATTGACTAATAATAGAGAAAGAGAAAAAAGGGTAAAATCAAGAGATA